TATCTTAAACTCCACAAGTTCAAGTCACTTCAAGTACGTGTACAAATTTCTACAACCTTACTAATTCGTTTCATAACTATGGGAATATCATTTTCCGATAATGTAGTGAAACAACAGGTTCAATGCAGTGGCAAGCTGACCCAGGAGTTACGTTGATCTTCGCTATGCTCAAGAGTTTATCCCATAATTCAATCTCCCCTTTCTCATTGTAAGGTCAAATTAATTTGCTCATATTAGCCCAGCAGTATAAACCCCCACTGCTATTTGCACACTCAATCCCTTTCCCTAGTTGTTTCAAACCTGCCACAAACAAATCATACAAGGATCGTATCCTCTTTCTATTGATATCAATGTATTCCTGCATGAATTGCATATCTGACAGCATCAAAATTAGTAGCCGTTGGGTTGGAGCTGAAATTGAAGCAAATCTCGCCAACCTTTTGGAAGCTGTCAAAACATTTTCATTTTCGGAATAGATTACCCCAACTCTAAATCCTGGAAGGGAAAAATCTTTGGATAGCCCATATATTATATGAACCTGGTTCTTGTCAAAATCTTCAAGAGTCAAGAATTTCGGCCATGCTTACAAAGTCTTCGCTTCCATAGGTGGACCCTGCAAATATTTCATCAGATATGATATGGATGTTCTTATCTCTGGCAAATTCTAAGAGGCTGTAGAGTGTTTCACGAGTCAGCAGATTGCCAACAGGCTGTAGAGTGTTTGAGAAGATAATTCCACAAACTTTTTGTTCACGTTTTCTCGCTTGATTGAATGCTTGTTCAAGAGCCGTGATACTTAAAATGAAATTGTTGGAGCTGCGACAGGGAACAGGAATTAGCTCTTCTCCTATTCGCCACTTTATATCCCTATCAAAGCTGCATATAGCTTTTCTGATTAAGTTTCACAAAAATTATCTTACAATGAAATAATAGAATGAAAAATTGTTTATCAATTGATGTTTATAGATGAGCAAAATAGATTATTACTGAGAAATTCTTTAAAATCAGAAGAGCAATATTACCCTGGGTAGTATGGTGTGGGAATGAGAAATGCATTCCCCTGGTCTGCCGAACAAAAGCAGAGTATGTCGATTGCAGGATTCACACCAGATGTTAATACTAGTTGCGATGAGTTAAAAGATACAGCTACTCCCATTACCTGAGACATGAAACCTGCCACAGCCTGCAAAATTGACTTATTGTTAACAAAGACAGTGCAATTCCATGACACACTTGGCTGATTATTTTATGTGATTAAAACAGTGATAAACTAAGGACAATTCATAGGCTTCTGGTGTTTAAAATTTTTTTAAGGTTTTATTTTTATTTTTAGAAGAAGTTCAACTAGAAAAGAAATGCAATGAAAAAGAGAGGAATCTATAGGAAGTACGACTATCACTTGCACACTACTACCCTGAACACACACACATATGACAACCACAGACAAAAATTGATAAGTAGCTTTTTCTTTTGGGGAAATTGCAAATACATGGAGCAGTGGAAAGAAATTAACTACAAATGGATTTTTTTTTTTTTTTGGGTGCAACTCTGACACAGGAAGAGTTGCACCATGCACGAGAATGAATTTGCATAGGAGAGTTGCAGTATCATGAAAATGCAATTCTTTTTCCACTGCTCCACTGAAATGCAATTTCTCCTTTTCTTTTCAAGTAATGAAACAAAGACAAAGGATCATCTGATGCATTAATATAGCATGCCTTCTCTACATTTTATGGTTCCAATATATTGCATTCCTTAGGATGGGCTTTTGGGAGGCAACTAACAAGCCTCACAATCAGAACATCAATCAATTAGTGTTCTGAACAGTATATTGGAGGCTTAAGCAAGTTGGAATGTCCAGAGTTCAAAACTCATAAAAATAAGACATAACAATCAGGGAAGATCTTTATGAATCAACACAACATCTTTATCACAGGATTTGAATTGAACAAATTGAAGATTACTTCTCATGAAAATGAGTACAACTATTGGCAAGGACGGAAAGAGACTTTTGCCCAAGGGGGGCCATTAAATGGTGGGTGAAGATTTTACAATAGTGTTACAGATGAGGCTCCAGACAAAACCGATCAAAAATAGAAGATTAGATGTAGCAGTGGATAATGCAAATTTTAGGACAAAAACAAGACATACTTAAATGATATATGAAGGTCCTAACAACAAATCAAAAACATCTGCACACCAACCATAATCACCTCTACATTGCCTATTGACTAGAATTTTTTAAAAAATAAATCAATTAAAACAAAAATAATACTAAACTTATCTTATTTTTTTATTATTCTTATCATCTTATGTGCTAGCATTGCATTGAAGATAGACATGAGATATGAAACCCATTACATTCATGTTGCACTCACAAATGAGGTAATAAACACACTATTATATAAAAATATGATAAAGCTAACATTATTGTTAAGATAAATTGATTGATAAGAAGATATTTTAACATAGAAGAATATTTCAACATAAATTAATAATAAGTCCAACCAAGGAATAAAGGTAAAGAACAAACATATAGAGAGCTCTTTGATTTGGGATAAGACAAAAGAGTTCGTAGATGGTAAATGAGGAGAGGGGCCATATATGTATAAAATGATAAATATATCAGAGTTTAAACACTATGCTTCACATTCTTCACATGAGCAGAGGGGCCACGGGCCCCCATTGTCTCTGCATAGTTCTGTCATCGACTGTCAGAATATTCTTTCTTGAAAATTCCACCTAAAATCATCAAACTGCGCTACATAAATCTTTGGTAAGAAAAGCCCTCAATTACCAGTGAAGATACTCCTAACCCCTTCATTTAAGGGTCGAACGTATATCTTTTATATAAGGGGTGTGTGCAAGGGGATGTTCCTATACTTGACAAGATTCCACATTGTCAACTCCAAAGTTAAATCAATAGGTATCATACATGTATGATGACCTCCACTCTTTCTTCCACGCAAAGATGCCCCACCCGCAAACAACAAATTTACCATCCTAGAAGTGAAGACGTCAAATAACTTTTGCTCGAGATGGTAAGAAACGCCTCAGTTTGGTTGCTCCCAAAATTTATAAAATTGGATAAGTTACTATGAATTAATGACTTTTCAAGTTTAAAAGCTCCCATGCATGTGCATGAAGCATAATAAAATGAACTAATGCTTACTATCTTAGAAGAAAGTCAAGAACCCAAAAAGGCAACCAAAGACACATACGAAGTCCACAAGCCATTCGCTGTAAATATTTTATGTGAATTGATGACAAGAAAACTAAGATCCTTGTCCACCAATGACACGTATATTATCTAATCCTTCCTCCATAAGGATTACAAAAATTCATGAATATCATTTATCAACATAAATTAAGAGGGCTTTCTATATATCACCGGATTATACACATGACGTAGGTGGTAATATAAATGAAATACATTTGGTGATAAATAGCATTTCTCAAATGATAATCATGTTGCAACTTTAATATTTTTCATGTCAAGACAATTTATCTATTTTTTATTTATCCGCATCTCTTTTGTGTCTTTGCTTTTTAGCTTGTTTCCCAGATAATCGGCCCAGATTGTTGGACATTCACGACACTAAGACAACAGAAAATGAGCTCCAACCAAAAAAAAAAAATTTCAAGCAAGATAAATAAAGGTGCATACGTGTGTGCAGATATTATTATTAAATTACAAATTTCCATCATTCAAAAAAAAATAAATAGAAACATCTGGGTCCTAATTGTGAGGATGAACATTATCTTACTGTAGCAATTTGAAGAACTCCAAATTAACCCACAAGGAATTTAAACCATTCGTTTCATCTGTGTGTAGGTGTAGGTCAGCAGCAAACTTCGTAAGGCTACAACAGCAAAGAGAAGTTGGCTCTTCCTTTTTCTCCCCCTCCTGATTAGTGAAAGAAAATTGGCAAAATAGTGACAAGGTGGAAGATTTTGTGAGAGCTACTACATAAGTGTGAATCACCCAAAAGTAATTGTGACACTAAAAGATCATATATTTCACCTCGATGGGAATAAAAATAATAAAAACAAACAAACTATTAAAACTATCCTTTTTATCAAATATTTGACTTGATTCCACAGTAGTCATAGCCAAAAAAAAAGAAAAAAAATCATAACCATCGAAAGATATTTGCCAGCAAAGTTTTTAATGAACAAAAATAATTATATGTTTCACCAATCTATAATGAATTATAATATATAAAAAAAAATACATTTCAAGCTAACACTCACCAATCTATAGCCATTTTTCTGTCATTTTTCCAGTGCCCTGGGGATGGGATTTACTTAAAATATAGTAAGACTAAAACATTAAAATATTCACTTCTCTCATTTTTCACGTCTCTATCTGTCATCTTGAATGTTTTTAACTATTACTCATCAATTATTTTTATTCATATCATCTCTCATTAGTGTCGCCCCCTCTTAAGAGTGGAAAATTATTCTGGCACCTCCCTGCCCCATTCTTTGTTGGGGCGGAGACATGATACCATAAACCTGGCCCGGCCCCATTGCCATTCCTTCATGGGAAAAGGCAAACTTAGTTAAAACAATCTAAAGTTTTCCATGCTACCACAAAGGAAGAAGAACAAATAATTATTAAAAAAAAAGATGGAAGAGCAAACAACAGTTCCCCCATAAAAGAAAAAGGAAAAAGAAAAAGAAATAAAGCAGAAAGAGACAGAGAAGAAACATAGCACCCTTGCACAGCATAAATAAAGCATAGAGAGAGACATGAGAAGGATAAAAGCATTCCAAGTACAAGAAGCATCAAAACTTGTTTATTACCACCTTGTAGGCTCCAACATTTTGTGTTTATTTTCTTAGACATTGCCTCAGGTAATGATCATCCAGGGCTGGTAAATTACCTGCATAACTCTACATAGCTGAACGGGAAATTTAACACACGGTAGGTACACAGATTTTGACAATAGTAATTATGGTAATTCAAAAACGGCTCAACTTTTTTTCCATGTACATACATTGATGGAGCTGAAAAAGGAATGGAAGTAAAGATGTCTGCTAATACAATTTGACATTTTTATAATTTAACAACAAAATAAGCTTGTTATTCACAGACTGGGATAACACTCACCTAGCCATAACTTACTAGTTTTTCGGACAGACAAATGATGATTAGTTTGCAACATACAAGTGTATGACTCAGGAACGAAGGCTCTGGTTACCCTCAAATTCTCTGCTAATTATTTCAAGCATCAGCTCATTCCATGTATCAACCGGACCTGGCATACACCAGTGTAAGCAATCTTGTGGTGGGGGCATCCCATTGGGGCCACGTTTGGTGATCTTATTTGGGTCGGTGCTCCTATATGGGCCTGGATGCCCATCATGGCGGTATGCAAAGACTCCTGTGATGTCCATAAACTTCAGTTTTGATTTGTTTGTCATCTTTTTGATCGCACATTCAAAGCCTGCCACCGGTTTCTCGTGCATTATATTTGTATATCCATTTTCCACTAATTCACTATCTAAAGCGGGCTTTACCTTTCCTGTGCACGACCCTCCTGTATTCCATTCCCCACGCTCATAATGATGAGGGGAAAAAGAACGCACAATGGTTAGACCAGTGTAATTTGGATGTGTAGCAAGGGCAGTGAGAATTGTTTCAACAGATATTCCAAAAGCCTCAATGTGGTTAACTTTCGTTGGACATTTCTTGTCTGGCCACCTGAACTGTCCTCCCACAATCTCATTGTTCAAGATATAGACCGATTGCTTCCCAAACCAGTGGCCAGATGAAAGGACAATCACATCAAAATTTGGGATGAATTCCATGAAGCGCTCATCAGGAGCATCAAGGTGGAGCTTATCCACACCCTTCGGAATAAAATCAAATGGCTCAGGTGTTGTATGGACAAGCCATGCGGACCATTTTCGGACAATCATTGTAGACGTTGACCTGAAATAGTAATGATGCATTCTTCTGTTCCCACGGTATTTTGGAACTTCGATCTGAAAGAATCGCAGAATCATGAAATAAAATAATCAGATGCAAGTTTAATGCAAATAAGAACATTCCATAAAAGTTGGAGAATTTGATGAGAGATAAATTCAATAATTGTCCAGTTAATGAAGTATATTTATATCTTGGCTGGTCAAGCACTAATAATTTATTTTTAGAGAATTTTTTTTTCACTTGAAAGTTCTTTAGAGAAAATTATTTTATTCATGTTGATCACATACAACATATATGCGCCATGAATACGCAGTAATGCAGACAAGAGAATTTCATTGCCTTAGGAATAGAATATGCTTTCTTTGAATTTGACAGCCAGAGGCAAAAAATAATAATAATAATAATAATAATAATAATAATAATAAAATAAAAGTCAAAAGATATTTATTACATGCCAGGCATGATACACCAATTCTATACCTTCATTCAACACTCACAAACTGCACTAGACTTTTACATCTAATACAAGAATATACAACTTGAACAAGGCCCTTCATAAGCAGTAAGCAGAATAAATATGAGCCAAGCCATGCAATTTGGCAAAGTAGAGATTCTACCCTGGCACATGTTTCAACAAAGCTAGGTGGATAGGCCTAACTTCCAATCTAAAATGTTGACACCACCTAGAGAAGTGTACAATGTAAGTAGTTGCATGAATTTTAGTTTTTCTTATTTCTGCAACACATGTTTCATTCACACTGCAACCTAAATATTAACTAATATTTTAGTGAACTACCTAACCATATGCTGATACCCATTTTCAATATTGAGAGGATCTCTCCCAAAGAAACACCTTGCAGTCCAATAATCAAAACTGGAATAAGCAACCCTGTGAATCTTTTACAATATTGTCCCACTTGTAAATCCAAAATGGGCAAGCTATATGTAAAACTCTTTCCTCTTAAAAAAACAAATATTTCAAGAAATCTAATGAAAAGATTACCCTGATTATTGGATAAGTATGTTATTCAGATCCATATAGAAATTTAGTGTTCTTAAGATGACGAAACTAGTTAAGAGAATTTTGTCAAAACTGAACCCACAAAATATTACTCAAATAAAAAATTGGACTACTTCAAAGTAACCAATCAAAAAATCAAATAAGCGCAACCAAACTCTTGTTAGCTGATATGGGGCAAAATTTCTCAAATAGCCATTTTGTTCTCAGCCTTGCAAGCAAACTGAAAGGAAATTTTGTAATTCACATATGCAAATTGTGGAATATACAGAGAAAATCCTCTCAGGATATGGTTGGGGCATTGGCCACCTTATCAAACTAGCAAACACCAGTTTGGAGCAGCATTCCTTTCGTATAGTTATATCACTATAGAAAGTTTTTATACTTGCCTGCCAAAGGATGCACAACAGTGATTCCATCTGGTTCCGAGCAAGTGAGTCACCGATGAAAGCTAATGTCTTCCCTCTCATCAACTCTAGAAATTTTTTAGAATCAAATCTTGGAAGGTCACACTTGTCGGGTTGCCATCGCCAATTTTCATAGTCTTTGTCTGGCCTCCCATTTCCCTGGCAGTTCTGTGTCTGTGTCAGCACAGGGCATGAATCATTTGTGTATAATGGTCCAGTTGAATCATGTACCCATTTTCCATGGTACAGATCACAGCCTAAATAGAAACCAAGGACAAACCAAATGAAAGAGTTTTAACAAGAAATAATAAAAAAAATTGTTCTTATGGAGAGAATCAACTTGTAAGAAATAAAAATAGTCTGCAGCTCTAGACCTGCTAATACACATCAGAATTGAAAAGAGAGATGCTCAGATGAGCAAATTCTAAGCTTCAATCCCAAAAAATAATAATTAAAAAAAAATCCAAAAAGAACATCATAAGGGACAGGAAAGCTAAGTTCGCATGAAATTCATCATCAGCAGACAGGGTGACAATATTTATTAACAAAAATCAGTAAACATGTTTCAGCCTGCCATCAAAATGACCTGGCCCTATACTTGGTTCCTTGTTGGTGCTAGTAAGGTCACAAATCCTTCAGGCATCAACATGTGCTGGTAAGCACAAACAAATGCATTTTATGGAAAACCACTTCTAGACAAACATCAGAGACAAAATTTAATCTTCCCATCAACATCGTTGCTGCAATATCTATGTAAAAACCATCGTTTTTTTTTTGGTAGTAAGTAGGCAGGAAAATGAATTCATCACAAGTAGGAAAGCAGAGAAGTAATAAGAAGGAAGATTCTTCTCTAGGAACTATAAGAAGTGTTAACCACTGTTAATATATTTTAGCATCATCAGCTAGAGTTATGTAAAAATGCATCCCTATACACAGAGAATAACAATTAGAATCTCCACAGTGGCTTATTGTCCACCATTCTTCCCTGTTAAGCAAACCAAGGAGCTGCTGCATTATGATTTTTCATGCATAACAGTAGTGAAATACAAGACTAAAAACCAACACAACATGAATTAAGGAATTGTCATTAAAGCGAAGTAAGAGAGTTGTTCATTCAACTAAGAGAATTGAATTAAGGTATTGTCATTAAAGGGAACTAAGAGAATTGTTCATTCAACTATCATTAAGCAGATAGCATAAGCACCAGAAGATAATCACATGTGCCTAGAGACCATGAAAGGTTACTTTCCAGAAAACATTTGTTGTAATATCAGCATTTGGAAAAAATGTGGATGATTCTCTGGCATGCAATAACAGACAACTGGAGAATTCCATCGAAGTCCACCACAAAAGAGTGCATGTGGCATAAGGTGCTTCTTTAAAGCTCAAACATGAGGTACTCCCTTTGTGATATCTATGTTTGGTACACATCTTATGCAAAGTTTAGAGCAATCAAGAAACTTTGCATAAGATGAGTGCAGAAATGAAAATGATAAGATGCACAAGAACTAAGAAAGAATAAGGTAGATTAACAAAAAGAAGAAACATTCCTGAGTAGGTAAAATTAGAACATCTTTAGTCCTTGCAAGTAGCAAGATATACTGAAAACTATAACCGGAATGGAAGAAAACACTTTAATCTTCAATTTACACATTGTTCCCAAATATTCCACACTTGATAATGGAAACCCTCGTCAAAAGTGGCACCGAAGGCTTTCAATTATTTGGAAGCCATCTGAGACTTGAGCAAAAACAAAAAAGTCACCAATCACATTGGATGCCCAAGTGAGAAACAAATGACTCTTTTTTTCATGAGATAAAGGAAATTTCATAAAACCATGTGAAAAACAAGGAGTGTTTACTTCAAAGGCCAAGGCAAGCTAAGCAAATGAAAATTTTAAGGTTTTGAGAAGGTAATGAGTGAAAAATGCAAGAGATAACAACTTTCACCCTAATCTTCCTCAGCAGTGTCCAGCCTTCTTTTATGAAAATGGTGTCACACTACATCTTATATATGTGGGACTTCACAATTGATATGTAAAGTGGCAGACCCATTAATCAATTTAAACAATTCAGATGATTAGAACATATCATATTTGCATGGATAAAGAAAGCGGTTAAACCAAATTTTACTGATCATCCATACAATAACAAAGGTATATGCAACACTTTCATCTACCATTCATTGTGAAATATGGTTGCTGATCCAACCTACGTTTGTTCAAATCAAACATTTAAGGGATTATAATCAGTAGACAGCCAAAACATTATTGATCACATTTCCCAACTTGGGTGGACAAGAAAATACAATTGAAAAGCCCAGCCCACATTTCTCTTTAAAACCCAAGTATTAAGGAGAGAGAAACTGGAGCTTTATAACTAGTACAAATGGAGCAATTCCAAGCGATGTGGAATACATTCCAATACACCCCCTAGACGACGACATACCCCAACCAAACTCTGATACCAAATTGAAAAGCCGGCGCTCACACTTCTCCTTAAAACCTAGTTATTAAGGATAGAAAAACTGAAAGCCTTATAATTAGCACAAATGGAGCAATTCCAAGCGATGTGGGATACATTCCAACAAATACCATACATGGCATTTTGCAAAGTAAATAGCATACATATTGTGCTCTTTTAAAAAAAGATTAAGGGCACCCATGGTTGGCTCGACTCTTGCAAACTTCTTTCATATATCAAACTAGAACTACGGTACGGTTCCCATTCTAGACCAAAAGAAAAACTACACTCTGCCAACGCTTGAAACTGACCTTTTCTATCTAAATTGTGCAGTGTTTGCTTTAAAGAGAAGGAACTTTCTTAAGCAATAGCAGTGGGGGAGAGGTGGATGGATGAGGGCAGGGGTGTGGTCGGCGGCGGTGGGGGGAGGTGGGGAAGGGGATATCGTAGCCGGAAAGGGTTGGCTGGCTACAGATTAGGGTTTATGGAGGTAGGGAAGGGAGGGGAAGAGAGAGAAGAAAGGGAAGAGGGAAATGGGCTGGAGGACAATTGAGTAACTGGCACAACGTTTTTTTAAAAGTTTCCATGTCAAGTGCAAATACTTTTTATTACCATTTTTCTGTAATTTTCCCAAAATGGTACACGTATTGTTGACAACTAAATATATCTAACAAACAAACAAACAAACAAGATAACAAGTTAGAAAATAAAAGAACAAATTAAAACCACAAATATAGATAATCAGAATTTAGTGTCTATAGAGATATACATCTAATTTAAGTGAAGTTTCTGGGATATTAGTGTCTATATATTAGACATAATTAATTACACAAGAAAGTACTAATCAACATGAATAGTTGAGAAGGTAAGCGGGCATATTTCTAACGACAATGATAGTAAATAAAGATCACAAAAAGGAAAGAGAATATTTGGGGGTACCTGAATCAACCGAACCACTCTTACTTATGTCACCAGATGCAGGAGATGAAGATGGCACAGCCAATCCTGGCTGTATAATATTGGAACTGTTTACTAAGCCCAGGGAAGCGGGTTCAGCATTTTCAACACCCTTTGCAACATTAGAAGAGGTAGGATTTTCTTTGGCCTCTTGCCCTTGCTGATCCACTGATTTCTATGTTTCTGATACAATTGAAGGACCAGAATACACTTGTAAATTAGACACGTCATTTGTATCATCAGACTTCGAAGTCTGATTCTCATCCATCCCACCTATGCTGCCAACAACAGATTGATTGTTCCCTGACATTGTTGAGTCTGCCTTTATAGAAGAAGAATCATCAATTCCATCATCATTGTGTCGGGAATTACTTTCAGTTTCATTTAACCCCGACACCACTACATCAAATTTTCTCAAATATTTGTTATTACCATAGTTGAAAGAATCACAAATTGTTTTATTGCTCCAAGACGTTGAATTAAATTCCCGCAAATTATCAACACCATACAAGTTCCAACGAACAGTAGGCCCAATTGGTTGTGTGACCAGAAGCAATGAAGTGAAGAATAACAAGAAAGCTAGTCCGTACGCTGAACCTCCAATCCATGAAAGAACCCTTGGATAGGCAACCATTGTTGAAGCTCCTTCAGGTGAACCTGAAGTCAGGGCTGTCCAAGACATAAAGCACAAATCCTCCAAATATATGATTAACTACCTTAACTTCCTAATATCATTTTCCAAATCACAAGTCGCTCAAATATATGATTTACTAAATTCTTGGCTCCTGTCTCCACAAATATCAAAGCTCAAGTTTGATCTTCAAGTTCCTTCCGTTCCGTGTACTTGTTTGTATTCCTTCACTAAAACAGCCAAGGACACTTTCAACAAACAATACTTTCCATAATTGCTTCTAACAAGAAGCTGCTATTGAATTTCAGTGATTAATTCACCATATATCATCAAAAATGAATCTCCTACAGATACATCAAATCCAGTGTGCTATCACTGTACTGTATGAACACAAATCAAACAAAATTTTCAATAATAATAATGAGAAACAGTTAAGGAAACACCAACACAAATTTAAAAAGCAAAACAAAATTATAAATGCTAGAAGCTCCCCTTTTGCTAATACAGTGTTGTGGAATAGAAAACAAATCAAAACTTGCTCCATTTGGTTAGTTTTTATAACTTATTTCTTGAATTTGTTTTTTGAAAAATTAGAAATTAGTTTGACGTCAAAAACAGAGAAAATCCTATGAAAATAATGACTAATTTAAGAAAAATAATATTTGACCAAACTAATTATTAAATTTAAAAAAAAAAAAATCAATTCTGTTAACTTAACCAAATGTAGAGAGCACTGGGGAAACTCCAAACGTCTCACTTTCTAAAAAACGTATGGGTTCTCCATATGGTAGGACTCCTATTACAAAATGTATAATTTTATTATAAAATTTTATAATATCAATCACAAAATACGTAATCTTATTATAAATTGGCATAACAAAATGTTTAAATTTTATGATTGATGTTGCAAAAATTTATAATTTGATTACAATATTTTTAGTTATCCCGATTTGTAATGAGGTTATAATTTTATGATTAATATTATGAAATTTTGTGATAAAATTATATATTTAGAGCGTGAACACACCATAACATTTTCCAAAACGCATATATGACTGCAATTCGATAGGAAACCTATGGTACACGCTCCATATGACCCTATCATAATTGGCGTAATTTTATCACAAAAATTTATAACATCAATTACAAAATATATAATCTTACAACAAATTAGCGTAATAAAATATCTAAAATGTTGTGATTCATATGTAATAAAAGTTTGTAACTTGATTACGATATTTTTTATTACGTTAATTTGTGATAAGATTATATATTTTGTGATTGATATTATAAAATTTTGTGATAAAATTATGTCAATTTGTAATAAGGTGCATATGGGAAGGAAGGTGTACCATAGGATTTTCCCATTGGATTCGAAACAACGAAAACACGGATGTTTTCTCAGCAACCAAACAAGAGGCATAAATTCAGTTCCAGATTTTACGAATTTCACGCAAACAAAACCATCAAAAAGTTTCAAACAAAGAGAGATCTCAAAACAGTACCTTTTACAGAGAAACCAAGCTCGATAAGCATCAAATTGCCTAGAAATTTCGCATCGAACTTCAATGTCTGAAAAAAGAAACCACTAGGAATTTTAAATCAAAAGTTCTTCGTCTCCAATCAGAGGAAATCCAGTGATAAATACAGGTCTGTTCAATAAATATGTCATAATTAAGTGATAAATACAGGTCTGTTCAATAAATAGATGATAATTACTTTTAATGATTAAATTATTGATAAGTTTAATTTTGAATTGAATTGAGGATGTTGATTATAGGAATGTATAATCCAATGTTTTCCGAGTCTCCGAAATATTAGGGTTTTCAATCACTATGAAACGAGCTTTTTCTTTAGCATCGATTTATTTTCTCGGAAAGTCGAGAGTGTGAAAGGACATTGGACGGGACCACATTCAATCCAGATCCAAATTTATCATTGATCCATAAATCTTAAAATCAAATTTATTGACTAATTATTCCCACTATTATTTTAAGGAATATTCTACTTCCACTACTAGTTTAAGGGTGGTGCTATTAGCACATTATCTATTATTTTAGACCGTCTATTTCATCTTTTTTTTATAAATTTTGAAATTTTTTTAAAAAAAATTCTCCTCTCAAATAATATTAAAATTATCTTTGTAAAAATATTTTACCCATTCAATTGAATGCATACTCTCTACACCCCAAGAAAACCTCCATTCCAAAAACCTTAACAAAACCCATATAGAAGAAGAAGAGCCGAGTGTAATTATTTTCTCTGCTCTCTCTCTCTCTTTCTCTCTGCCACCTCATTATTTTCTTCAGTGATTAATGTTCGGTTACCGATTCCTAAACAAATAATAAATGTTTGGTTACCGATTTTCGAACAAATAATAAATGTTTGGTTATCGGTTTCCGAACAAATAAACAATGTCCGGGCCTATGTTTCCGAATTTTGGTTATATGTTTGGAAATTTAGTTCTAAAAAAATGACAAACATATTTTATTATCAATCCTGCTGCATACCCCCAGTGGGGGTCGCACCCCCAGTGAGGTGTCGCGCCCCCACTGGCCGAAACCCAAAAAAAAAAAAAAATAATTTTTTTTTTGTCCAATTATGGACTGCCACCTCACTGGGGGTCGACCCCCAGTGGGTGTATGAGCCATTTTCCTTTTATTATTTTTACCTTTTATTTATTTATTTATTTATTTTAAGAAACTTAACCTTACAAGGCCAATCTCCTTTGAGTTAAGAACACTTATCAAAGTTATGAATTTCTTATGAACTTTTATTGTTGTACTCCTCTTGTCTCATGGAATTGTGATTGCCGAAAAAAACTTCCACTCATTATCATTACTGGAGAAGTGTAGATAATCAAATAGTTGCTACGGTTATCGCCGGAATATTGCTGCCAAATGGTTTTTAAGGTTTTGAGGGTGAGTCAGTTTTGAAGGTGAGATTTTGGAAAGATGCATGGGTTGTGATGAAAGTGGGTGCTCTCATAAACCCTAATTCATAATGTAGTGGTGTGTGGATTTAATTATAAGATGGGGTGTTCCAAAATTAATGATGTCATTTTTAGTAATTTTATTTGAAATTATTATTGTTATAAAAAATTAAAAATTGAGGGATTCAAAATAATTCATGTATAGCAGCAATCTAGTTTAATTCTTTATACTCTCAAAATATAATTTTTTTATTTTTTATAATTACTTTATTACTCTTATTCCTAACATTTTTCCGTCTCCTTAAATGTCGCCACTGGTGGCTTGTGCGGCTTGGTAAATCATGGTGATCTAGTGCGGTTTGGTAAATTATCTGCGTCGAGGTAGAGCTCGAATACTACTATGATGGCTAATGCTTCATAACCATCGTCGGAATTTGCATATCATGAGAGTTAGAATCACCGCTAGAGCCATTAGAAGAAGGCATGAAACTCGAAAACATGGCTTCCAATTCAAGAGGACTCAACGTTTGCAAACATGGCGAGGACTCGATGACGATGACGATGATGATAATGATGATGATGAGGATGAAGATTCACAAGGCTCGCGAAGAATGAGCTCAATGCTGATAGGAGATATGGGTATTAGGGTTAGGGTTTTAGGTTTTGGGTGCAAGAAGGAGGAGGAGGAAGATTAGGGATGAAGGTAATAAAAGAATTATAGAAATTTAAAAAAATATAAAATAAAAAAATTTCCGAAAAATACCCCCCGACGAGACGGGGATAGTATTTAAAAATCAATCCCCGAACAGATTTGGGCCGAGGACGGGGATAAGTGTCCCAGCCCCGTACCTGACCGGGCCCCGTCCCCGTTCCCCGGCCCGGTTTGTTCCCAAAATGAAATTACTAGTTTACCCCTATATATACATACACACACACATAGTAACCAAACCAAACCCTCATCATCTCCAGTTCTGTCTTCCGTCTCTCTCTCTTCCCTCTACTCTCTCTCTCACTCTCACCACTATCGCGACGTAGTCACAGCCACAGCCACCCATCGCGATGCCGATTGTCCTCCTTCAGCCACAGCCTCTCTCATCTCCCTTCGATCTCCATAGCTGCACTGCCTCACGCCGATCTCCATCGTTGCGCTGCCTTACGTTGATCTCCCTCCCTCCGATCTCACTGTCTCACACCGATCTCCATCACTGCCTCACTCTGATCTCCCTCCCTCCGATCTCCATCACTGGCTCTCGTCTCTCTCTCTCTCCTCTCCATCACAGCCAATCGCCTCACTAAGGCTTCTGAGCTCAGATTTTTATTGAATGTGTTAAATGTGTATGTGTTAGATTTTTTTTTTTTTTTTGATGAATATATATGTTTGCTCAGATCTGTTTGATGAATATATATGCTTGCTCAGATTTGTTGATGATGATGTTGTTGATGAATAGAATATATGTGCTCAGATCTATTGTTCAATGTTTATATTGTTGTTGTTTTTTTTATTTTGGCCGGGGAATTTTCGGGGTCGGGGAAACCCAATCCCCGTTAGGGGTCGGTGATAGACTCCCCGTCGAGGATCGGGGCTGGGGACGGGGAAATTTCTACCATCGGGGATCGGGGACGGGGAGGGTGATCCCCGGTCCCGCCCGGCCCATAGCCATTCCTAGTGCAAGGAGAATGAGAAAGGTTAGGAAGGGGGTAATAAAGTAATTACAGAAATTATAAAAATATAAAATAAAAAATTTATATTTTGAGTGTAAGGAGTTAAGCTAGTGGTGTAGGTAGAATTTCCCTTATTTTAATGAACACACATGTACTTGTTTATGTAAATTGATGCATTTATCATTTTGTTTATGATATGGGCAATTTAAAGATTTCCTTCTTAATTTTAGTTGTATGTGTCACATTTTAAACAAAGCACATTAAAAGATTTTGAGTAATGCTACGGATCCTAAATATTTTACTAAATGTTTCATATGGGTGTGGAACCCACATAACATTTGATAAAACATTTGGGATCTCTAATATTTTTCAAAGATTTTTATAGTTACATTATTGATTTGGACAAATCACATTTCACATTTTAAAAATCATATTTCATATTCAATCCACCCAAAATATCATATTTTTTCCACTAAAATATTTATCATTGTTTACTCATATGTATTAGTTTTAATCATTTAATCTTACTAAAAAAAATTAATGTAATTATTCAAAAATATGAAATTATTTATATATTTTTTAAAATTTTAATGGAGATAAGTGTAATTTATTCTAATATTTTTAAAATTCAAGGTAAATCCAAACGAATGGGACACTTGAAGACTCCTTAAGTTTCCATTATAAACTCTTACGTCTTGTTTGTTTAGTGAATTAGATTGTATAAAATTATGAGTATGGTGGATTAAGTGATGAGATTATTAATGTGGTGATATTAGGTTGAAGATGTAAGATAACGTGTGTTTGTTTGTGTACTAGTGTGCTGGTATTAGTTTGTGCTCGTTTGGCTAACATTTTGGGACTAAAAAAGCACAAAAAGACAATAAATTATACAAGCCAATAAGACAAAATATCAATTTTTACTCATAATCATTACATTTTTTCTCTCACAAAAGTCAAAAAAGTCCCAAAACAAAAACCAAATGAGGTTAAAAAAGTCAGGGTAAAAAAGTTGACTATATTAGCCAAAAAAGTTGACTATATTAGCCAATGTCAAACGACCCCTTAGTTGGGACTAAATCTATAAAATTACTTAAAAACCCTTATATATAATATAATTTTGTTGGTTTTGTAAAGTAGAAGGGAAAATAATAATTGAGCCATGGATTTGTGTGAGGGGATTAGGATCCAGTGTCACTGCTGTGCGTGAAGCACAACAGTAACTATTGTGCAGCTTGTAAAACTTATTTCGGCTCCTATTTTGATGATCTGAACCGTTGAAAATTTAGGAAATATCTAGAACAATATACCTGTAAAAAATTAAGTTGATCGGATATCAATAACTTATTCATCAAATAACATTTGTATTTAGTTTGATACATACATATTCATTTTTTTTATATAAAGATACTATTTGATGAACATGTTATTGATATCTGATTAATTTGATTTTTTACAGGTATATTGTTCTCGATATTTCCTAAATTTTCAACTGTTCGAATCATCAAAAAAAGACCCAAAATGAGTTTCATGGACTACACAACAATCACCACTGTGCTTCACGCACAATAATGACACTGGCTCCGGGGATTAGCTATTCCAACCTTCCTATGAAAATGTTAATTCCACCGTAAAAAGAGGCTCATACTCCCATGAGATTATTAATCTCAAAATATTTTGTTACACATAAACATAAATTTAATAGAACGAATTAATAATCTAATCTTTCCTCCCAACAAGGATGGCCTTACTCTTCTTGTAAACAATTATAACAAAAAAAATCTACTCATTTGTATTGAGTGAGATTGATAGAAAGAGAAAGAAAGGGTCATCCATCAAAATAATAATTAATACAATAGATTGGATTCCTTGATTTTTTAAAATTGACCCTGAACAAAAGGTCAAGTCATTATGTCATGTGAATCTAAAAAATTACATATAATATTTAAACTCTCAAAGATTTTTTTAGAACAATTTAAATAAATAAATATTTTTTTAATTTTTTTTACAAAAAAATATATAAAAAAATATACAAATATGAGTTTGG